ATTATTATTATTATTATTATTATTATTATTACTTATTATTATTATTATTATTATTATTATTATTATCATTATTAATTGTTATTACTATTGCTGTCCATTTAATTGAAGTATTGAGGATTCTTAATTACTTTAAAGATTGCCTTACATTAAGACGGAATCATTATTTTGATGAGAACTTTTTAAGCTATTTAAAATTGTTTTATTTGCTAATAATACCATTTAATATTTTAAGTATTTTAAAGTTTAAAACATTAAACGATAATGAAAATGAAGTTTTATTATTGTTATTATCATTACCGTTATTCCATTTTTTGTTAAGCATAATGTAAATAGCACAGAGGAAGTGTGATGAAATTAATTAGTTTTACCAAAATGAATGAAACTTCGGGTTAATTTAGTATTAATGTATTCAGAATTAGCTTCTCCAGGAATTTGATCATTTATTTTGATGATTTAAATCAGTAAAAATTACGTATTTACTTGATGAGTTGCTCGAGATATATGTATATATATCTTATTATGTTTCATTCCTGACAGGAATATTCCGATTAAATTTCCTCAACGGTTACAGTTTTAACGTCGATGTTTAAAATTCATGCGATAAAACGAATTTCGATAAACGATTATTGTTTTATCAATATGTGGATGATGATAACATCACTTGATAATGATAACAATATTTTGAATATTTCAATATTCTATTACTGCATCCATTTATCACCATTAGTTGTAATATGGAAATTTGTAAGAGCGACACGAACGAAAAACGAAATAAAGCTGGAATAAAAGCTGTATTTGAAATTTTAAATGAGTGAAAATAAATTTAGGTAAAAAATTAGGACTACTTTTATTTTTTTCAAGAAGTTAAATTTTACGATTTAATTTCTTAACTTTTTGAGTATTATCATTTACCATCTATCATTATCATACAGAATTACATCAAATGAAATAATCAGTATTATCAATATGCTTTTTCATATTCATGATATATTAATTATATGAAAAAAAAAGGATTTATTCCGAAAAATATATTTGAATAATTTTTCAAATGGATGATTATTGGGCGGAAAAGTCGGTTAATGTAATGTTACCTATCTTTTTCTCTATCTCTCTCTCTCTCTCTCTTTCCTTTTCCTTTCTTTTCTTTTGAACTTTTATATCCTCATATTTATCACTAAAATATATGCCATTTAATGGTTTCAAAACAAAACTTATCCATGATTGAAATGACAACAACAAATCTGTCACAATTCCTACCATAATCAACCATGAAAAGGAAAGAAAAAAAATCGAATCAAAATAAAGTAAACAAGCATGGAGCAAATATATTTCATCCTTCATCCATTCAATCATTTTCAATTTTTCATTTATAGTTTGTTTTGATTTTTTTTTTTGATTTATGATTGAAATATTCTCTGATTCATTAAAATTCATTTGTAATTTTAAATAATTTAATCATTCAAAATTTTGATCTTTTTCTCAGTTTTCATTTTAAACTGTAATTATCAGTCATATTTTCAATTCGGTATTCATTTCAATTCAAATTAATTCATATCATTATGAATCTTCTAAAATTTGCTTCTGATAAAATTATTATATAAGCATCAAGAATGATCGTTTGATCATTAACTGATCACTGCTTAAATCGATTGTTATTTAGGTACTTATCGATTAATCTTGATTAATTGTTATATTATTTATTAATGAGACAAATTGCAATCTTTATCGTAATACATTTTAAATCTAAGTATATTTTAATCTTAATATTGACTGCAAATGGTTTGGAAAATCCCGGGGTGATATTGTTTGTTCATTTGTGATTTGTTCATGTTCAGATGGAATGATGGAAATTTTAGATGAAATTTTAATCTAAAATGTTTTTTGTATTAATCTCGAAAAAAAATTAACTATCAATAATTTAATTTATAATCCTTAAAGTCATTACTAAACATTTTTTGTTATTTTCGATTTATTTAAAAATAAAAAAATTATTTTATCATTGTTTTTATTAAATGATTTAATTCATTCCTCAAAAATAAATTCTTGTTTTCAACTTTATCTTAAGAAATGCCCGATAGATTTCTTAAATTTGACTATGTATGTATATCAATCCATTTATTAGCTTTTATTCTATTAATCGATCAATTGATTCAATCGAATTCCATTCGTTCATTCATTTTATATCGTTTTTTTATAAAGATTAGTAGGGCTAGAAAGGCTCAAATTTAGAATTAGTGGTGATTAAAGAGTTAGTACTTTGAGAGAGAGGAAAGAAAAGAAATGAGGGAGAATGGAACAGATGACAGGTGACACTATTACAATGATCATATCAGGGAAGGAAGAAGACAATATTAATTATACACATTAGTATGTATGTTTTGTTATTATACTGGAAAGAGAATAGTAGTAGTAGCACTTGTAGCATCAGTTAGTTTCACTGCTACTACCATCGCTGATCAGATTATCATCCATTTTGTCAACGAAATGTCATCCCACATAAATAAAATTTCATATAATAGTAGCATCAGTGTATCACCATACCAATCATTTAGACATATTATAATAGACAGGACATAAAGTTCTAGAGGTCATTCAGATAGTGACAGGTAGGTTAGATCAGTACTAGACATCAAATGTGATCGATCGTTTGAAATTATCGTTTTAGTGTTATACTCTTACGATATTAGAAAGTTGTTTTATCTTTGATAGTAATTTTTTTTAATTTTTGAAATTAAAAATGATTACTTTACGATTTAATTACTGGATTTATTCCATATAGATAAGGTGATAAGAGATGATATGATAAAATCTCATTTCAATTCTTTTTTTTCGAGCCTTTTGATATGATAAAAATAATTTTTTTATAATAATAATTTTTAATAAATTATCGAATAATGAGAACAAAAAATCAGACAAATCAAATAATTACTAAATTTCAGGTTTTGTTAATTTTGAAGAAATGGATCGTATGGTCGCTGATCGAAGTGACGGAATTGATTTAGCTTTTGAACGAGCAAAAGGTAATGATGTTATTTGCATAAAGTTTATAAGATATCACCAATTAAAACGATCATTTTCAAATTATTTAAAAAATAAAAAGCCATCGATCAGATTTGCTATTTTTTTTTTTTTTTTTTTGTTATAAGAAGATAATCAAAGAGATCTAAGAAATACAAATCAAAATATTATTAAACTTCAAACAATGAAAAAGAATGATTGGAATAGAAAAATTGAAACATTTCAGTTAAGTAAATACAGATTTGAAGAGTTATGTGAGTGACACTTTTTAATTTCTTTCCTAAATTCTCTCTAATTAAGAATTCTCAATATATTTAGATGAATTGGATATTACATATTCTCTCCACTTAAATACTTTAATTTGAAATCAAAAAAGATTTCGGTTGAATTAAATGTATAACATAACTATGCGACCTATTTCATTCGAGTATCAGTTTTACATTATTGATAGCTATTTTTTATGGCATTATTAAAAGTAGATTTATTATTTGTTAAATTTTAATTCAAATAGTTTTTACTTTGTGGATTCCAGCATGGACCAAATATTGCAAAGATTTGCTAAATCACGTATCACGTCGAATGCAACTTGATTTAGAACACGCAAAACGTGTCCAAAATCTTGCCAATCAATCAAAAACTGCTATTAGTGAGGTTAATTTGAACATTATTTCCCTAACAAAGATGTATTTTTGTTCAAATACTTTATTGTAAATTGAAAATTTTTGTACATTAAAATTATTTTAAACATAATGTTCATCAGTGATCAAATACTTTTGTTGATAGCATTTGTTTGTTCTTCAACATTTGCTTTAATTTTAATTTCAATCAATTTAATTTTCTTTTTTGAAATATTTTCATTTTCAGCATTATTTACCATTAAAAGATGTATTCGAAAATAGCTTCGAAAATGACATCACATTTTGTGAGCAAACACAAGAAGCTGTAAAATACATCCAGGATAGGTTTATTAAGGTAATTCATGCTAAATTATTGACTTTAATATTTATCGTATTTGCTGAGGGAATGTATTGAATAACAATTTAAGGCTATTTTGTCATATGCAAAAAGCGCTCAAATTCAATAATTTATCATTTGATGAATATTCCATACATACACTTACTCAGCTTTTTTGATTTATTTACTTTTTTTTTTTTAAAGCCTAAATTACTAATTTCAGTCATTAGAAATGCGACGGGATGAGCATGAACGACAACGAAGAAGTTTAAAAAATGAATGGTTACGAGTAGCAAAACAAGTTGTTAGTAAATTTTTATTTTTTGAAATTAATTGACTTATAATTAAGGTTTAAGTGATAATTTCAAATGATCAATTTGGGATAATTTTATAAATGCTTCGGAACATTTTAAAAAAGGAAATGAATAAAACTTCCATTTAATTATGCTTTGGAGATTTTAATTATTAAGACAGAAATATAATGTAAGGAACGAAAAAAAAAAAATTCATGCAAAATTTGATTTGGTTGAAACGATAGAATATTTTGTAGAAGGATACTCAACAAGAGTTGCAACGAGCACGGACGTTACTTGGTTCACGTGATGATGGTTATCGTAAAGCACAAGAGATATCCATTCGAACAGAATCTACCGGTCCAGCTGTTGGTTCGGAACTTTTCCGACGTCGTAAAGAACTTGAAAAAAGACGAAAAAATGAAGAAGAAGCACTAAATAAAGTTCGATAACTTGGATTTTATTATTAAATTTTCTTATATAGCAGCAGGAAATTTTAATAAAGCGAAATCAATTTTTGATTGTATCAAATCAGAATGCGTTATCATTCATTCTAGTAAATAACAAAGTAATCAGAGCATTTTATTAAATCAGTGATTCAATTCAATTATTCAAATTTTGTGATATTATTAAAAAAATGTTAAAAACATTGCTGTTTCGATATTTTAAATTAAATTTGAGGAATTTCCAGAGAGATGAAGCGCAAAATCAAGTTGAAAGACTTGAAGTGGAATTAGAACGACGGCGACATCATATGGAAGACACAAAAGTATTAATTTTTCTTTTAAAAAAAGGAAAAATTATTGCTTAATTTATAGAGAATCTGTAATTTTTTTCAACGAAATAAACTTAAATAATTACTCGTGTGCTAATCAATTAATAATGGAGGAATATTATCGAAAAATATGCTAAAAATCATTGAGAAAATTTACTCGCAACAAGTTATAGATTAAATTTATAAATTATTTTTCCTTCTTTTCTTTTTTCTTATAATAAAGGTTTCAAATACCACTGGAAGATACTTTTACGTATACATTCCATAACATAAAAGTAATTCATACCTGGTAGTACCCAGTAATTAACCTCACAATCTATCTAAACGAGATTTTTGTTTTCAGCATAAGTTAAATTTTTTCTTTATCAAATACTCCGGAAATTTTCACGAATTATTTTCGAATCTCTAAATATCTTTTTTTCTATTTTATACATATCATGACGTGGAAAACGTGAGGAACGTCACGTTTTCAAACTTTTTCATGACTGATTGTCTCTATCCTCCAGGAATGCCTTACTCTTTCAATCTTTGCTTTGTAATTTCAAATCAAATAAGAAATGGAAAATTTCCGTCATGAAAAGATGAAAATTATGAAATTTGAATGAAATTTATAAAAGCTATTTTGATTGTTTTTCTCTTTTTCCTTTTTTTTCCTTTTTTTCCTTTCTTCTTTTTTTTTTTTTTTTGCTTATCTATTTTATGGAAAAAAAATGAGGAAAAGATGAAAGGAAAAAAGCGAATGATGGATGATGAAAAGAGGAAAAATTTGAAGAAGGAAAGTGGCAAGTGCCATTCCAGTTGTTTAATCATCAAAATATGTTTAGTTATTGTTGGCCAGAAAAAGTGAATGAAGCCAAAAAGAGCCTAAAGCTTAAGGTTTCAATGAAATAAAAGATATACATCAAATATCTACTCCTTCCTTTCATTTTTCTTTAATCGATGACACTTTTCTTGCTTAATAAAGGATATTGTTTTTTTAAGGAAAAAAGATATTAAATGAAATAAATAAAAAAAAATAAAAAAATAAAATAAAAAAAAATATTAAATGAAATAAAAATTAGTCTTGGTAATATTAATAAAATTTAAATTTCTACTAACTTTATGATAATCTTAAAATATATTGATTAGAAAAAATGTGTGTTAATGAATGCTAATTCTTAACGTGTATGTTCAGGATCTCTTTAAATTCAGGATTTGTGATCCATAAAATAAGTGAGCCTTGGCTCTTTTATGGATCGAAGGAAGATGAAGCAAGAGAGGCTTATGAGAATGTGATAATGATTTGTAAGACTTATATATCCTTATAAATTTTGGAACTGAGATGAATGTGAATGGCCAGGCTAATGTGTTTTAGAAGTGTACGAGATTGGATTTATGGATTTCGAGCTCTAAGAAGCTAGGTTTTAGGCTTAGCGAGATAATTCAGGACATACACACACACACACACACACACACACACACACACACACACACACACAACACACACACA